TGTGAAAATGTCCCTAAAAGATATGGGCACAGTGGAATGGCCTTTTTGGCTGACATGTTTGTGTTATGCGCCTGTCAGGTGGGTGTGCAAATTCGCTTGGCCTTTTGCAATTGCACCAACTAAAACTTGGGAACTGCCGGGGCATTTTGCAAAGTTGGGCAGTGTCCGGTACGGGTACATTGCAAACATGGGGTCCAACTGATGGCTGGGGTGTTTCGCAAAACGTTTTTGTCATCGTCCACTTGTTCCTCTAAAACGAAAAGAAATGACAAAGCAATGAAGACAGAGCAATGAGCAGGAACGTACAAGGCGCAATCAGAGAAGCTGAAATCCGTCCTTCAGCCACCTTCAAAGGCACTGGACCACAAACCTATTCAACTGCTGCTCAAGTTTAACTCCCCAGTCGAAAGAGGAGGGGTGTTTCGCAAAATGTTTTTGTCATCGTCCACTTGTTCCTCTAAAACGAAAAGAAATGACAAAGCAATGAAGACAGAGCAATGAGCAGGAACATACAAGGCGCAATCAGAGAAGCTGAAATCCGTCCTTCAGCCGCCTTCAAAGGACTGGACCACAAACCAATTCAACTGCTGCTCCAGTTTAACTCGCGGGTCGAAACAGGACAGGGATTCTTCAGGCTGAACAACTCCCTCCTAGCGACCGAGAGGTTATCTGTAGCTGTCAAAGAAAACTGATCCATCCGAAAATAGCTAGAATTCCGACAGACAAACAAGCACCAATGGTTCATCGACAGGTACGCAGACCTAACATGAACGGTATCAGCCGAATCACGGGGTATAGCGGGGGATCGTGAAAGGAGAAGGGAAGAACTCCAATTCGCCATCTCAGTTGTAGAAGCTAACAGCGAGTTTTACCAGGATCTACTAGCTGATACTAACGAGGAACTTAAACGAATGGAATAGAGGGGATTTGAGAGGACTGCAAATACGCTCCAGGATGACGGACTACACACTCAATGAAGCCATGACTAAATTCTTCTTCTTCAGAATCAAAGCGAAGCCTACGAATAACATGATAGAGGGCCTCAAAGACCCAGCAGATCAAGGGAATGTCAAAACAGCAGGTGCAGAGATGGTCACGATAGCCAGGAGATTCCGCGCAGACTTATATAAGTCAAAGAGGCCTTCACCCCCAACCGCAGCAAACCTAACAGCCCGTCAACACATGCTGCCAAATGTGTTGACAGGGTTTCTGGACTAGTGAATAGGGCCAAGAATTATGAACGGTGAATTTGCTGCAGGACTGCGCAGTCTGGGTGAAGAAGAAGTGAAAGGGTATTGAAATATTCCTTCCTTCCTGAGAAGGGTCGTGAGAAACATGCAGCCGAAAGAATGGAGCCTAGAGTATGAAGCGAGAAAGAATAAGTTAGCCCCAACAGTTCAGTTTCTTACTTTCTGTCCGAAAAATTGTTGGGTCTCCAATTTCCGTCTGGGCAGAGAAGAAGTGAAAGGGTATCGAAAGCGTCCTTCATTCCTGAGAACTGGGGTCATGAAGAACATGCAGTAAAAGAATTAAGCTTGGAGGATGAGTAATGATATAGAATTGGCAAGCTCCAACAATTCAGTGTCTAGCTTTCTATCTGAAAATTTGTCGGGTCTCCAATTTCCTTCTTGCAGTTGCCATTTCTGACAAATGAATCGATGAGATAATTCAGTGTCTCCCAAGGCTCTAGAGTCTAAACCATGAGATAATGTTCCTAAGGCATATTTTTGTGAATAAAGGACCCCCCTACAATCCTTGGTGAGCATTGGTTGTAGATTCTCTTCTGAGATTAGGGCTTTGCCACAAGGGAAACTGAAGTCAGGGAGGCAAAGTGCAGGGTGAGTAAAGCGATGGATGTGGCAAATCTTGGCAATTCGGTTTCTATTCCAAAATGTGATATCAATCCATCTCCAATTTTCCTTCGGGCAGCTGATGTCTAAATCAAATGAGTAGACATTTTTTCAATCATTTTTGTCTAAATCAGGAAAAAAAAATGAGAGAGACCCACCTTTGCAGCTGTGATACATGTCATCATGGAAAGCACCCCTGCAATCCCTTGGGCTTAGGACGATGCCTCGAAGTTCTACTGAAGTCATGCATGCACCAGTGCTTCAAATAGGAGAAGTCAAAGACACTTTTGGATAACCAACGAAAGTTGTGAGCGTGATCTCTGTTATGCAGTCCGGGCCTTTGCGATGTAGAAGGGTAGCCACCAATGTGCACAGAATTGGATGCTTTTTCCTGTGTGTTAATTATGCTTGGTGCTCATGACGGCAGAATGGAGCATAACATCTTGAGTGGATGATGTCTTTTGCAGGGACGATCCCAACATATTCGGAGAGAGAGCAGTGACTACATGAGCTTGGTAAGAACTCAGAAAAAACATAGAGGAAGAAAGATAGGAGAATAAAATAAGAAGCATAAGAGAACAAGAGATGCAACAATACTTGCTGCACACTTTTGTGGTGCACCATGTGTGGATTGGTAATGCTAGTGCACCTCACGCACAGACGCAGTGGCCCAGGCAGCACGAAACTGCACCTCATGTGGTGCGCACAGGTGTTCGTTTTTTTTCTTTTTTTAAGTTTTTTTGTGTGTTGTTATGTTTGATAGTTGTGTGTGTGTGTGGGAGAGAGTGTGTTTTATCCTAGGGGCTCCTACATGGGCCTTTCAGGCCTGATATTTTTCTCCTCGGCCCCCAGGTCGCACAGCCCCTCTGGCTGGGCAACTTCGTGGGCCACGGCCACTTTCTAGGCCTAGGCTCACACTTTTTGCCCCATTCGTTTTTCTTTTATTCAGTCTTTTTTTTTTTTTTTTTTTTTTTTTTTAACCACTAGTACCTCCACCAGTGTTGGGAAAATAGGGAAAACTGGCAGTTTTCCCATTTTCTCTGAAAAGTTCGGAGGTCCCAGAGGCTCGGCAAGAAGAATAAAGTTTAGTTCAGTTTTGTTTTTTTATTTTTTGTTTGTTTTGTTTTGTTTTTTTGAAACAGAACCTTACGGTTCTGGCTCCTTTCCATTCTGGGGAGCGTCAGTACGGTTCCTATTCCACCGACAAGTCAAAGAATTACATCAGTTACACACACGCTCCTCCCCATTATGGATAAGAGGCCCGAGTGGATGGCGTTGATTACTTCCTTTGGGAAGGATGTACCAGCCCTCGCCCCTGCCTAAGTTAGCCTATTTGTTAAATCCTTCTGGGGCTAAACTTAGACTGCCTGCTCAAAAACTTTTAACCCCTAAAGATTTCCTTACTTATGGGCCTAACCGTTTTTTCCTCCCATACTCTTAGCTGGCAAATTTATGCTATAAGATCAGCACGTGTATGATGTGCCATACGTTGTCCGCATGCTAAAACCCTAAACCCTAGGGACTTGAACTTAGGTTCTACTGGCTGTCATGCTAAAACCCTACACTTTTGTGTGTCCTATTCTCTTATGGATCTAGGGAACTAGGATCTTGATAATGCTGAGTTTCCAGATAATAGTGAGCCTCAGTCTACTTCTTCGTCTCGCTGTAACTTCTTTAAAGCATACTTGCGGCGCACTTGGGCAGTGTGCCGTGCGGTGCGCGTGCGCCCTGCGCTGTGCGCAAATTGGTGATGCGCTCAATTTTTTTTTTATTTTTTTTTTTTGAGGGATGTGTGTACACACACACACACACACACACACACACACACACACACACACACACACAGAGAGANAGAGAGAGAGAGAGAGAGAGAGAGAGAGAGAGAGAGAGAGAGAGAGAGAGCAAAGGATCCCCTAGGGCCCATGCAGGTTATCTGAAGGGTCCTCGCAGCAATTTAGCAAGGACCCTCCATCAAAATTGAGGCAGGCAGTGAATACGAAGTGGAGCACGAGCTGGCTGAATGTATATTCAGGATTTGTATTCAGGTCTGTGTTTCAGTAGTTATGGGTTGCTCACTTCGCTAGGCCCTCTTGGTCTCTGCACGTGATTCTGATGGCTTGGCTGCAGTACTCACCAAATGTGCAGAATTAGAATGAATCTTCAGCTAGAACGTGGAATAATACGCCGCCATATGTTTTGTCTTTTGTGCATGTGGTGAGTAGAGGCCCTTAGGGCCACTGCACGCATTCCTAAGAAAAGAAAAATGAGAAAACAAAAGAAAAACGAGACAACAGAGAAACAGTGACCCACAACTGTGACGCACAGACCTCAATTCAAATCCAGACTATATATTCTCTGCCCACGCAGACAAACTGGAAGTCTAATGTCTATCTCTGCTCCACGAGGCATCCTTGCTAATTTGCAGGGGCCCTTCGGAAATGAGACTGGACACAATTAGGACATGCACACCCACACGCACACACATGTGCTCACGGTGTTGGCGTATGGGGTGGCCCCAACTTTTTTCCCTCTTGCAGTTTGATTTTCAGAAGCGAGGCGCATGTTTGGCCACCCCACCCTGTCCTTTCAATTTTTTTTTTGGGTGATGCGCCGCATCACATGTGCGCGTGTGCTCTGTGCCGCATGTGCCGCGACCCCGCGCACGGGATGCGCCGCAAGTATGCTTTGAAGTTGTTATGTTGCTATGTGGGGTGATTTGGAAGGGGGATGGAGAATAAGGGGGTCTGTGAGATGGTGAAGGTTTTGTGGTTCCGAGACGATGGGCGTAAGACTATGGGCTAGGGAAGGGGATGCAAGGGTATTTGTGATAAGGATGGGACTGTGTTTCAGTTGGAGGGAACGGATTTAGTTGGTGTTGGGAATAAATGAGGTGTGTTGGTGTATGATGTGGAGAATCTCAGGTGGTTGCCTCTTCTGCTGTGATTAGTGCATGTGTGGGTGGGTTGGATTGGGGGCTGGATTGGGGTGTGGGCTGTGCGTTGTTGGGGTTTTGTTCTTGGCTGGTTGTCGAGGGCCAGATTAACCAATTAGTGAATTTTATTCTGTCTCCTTCGATTGAGCGCTATGAATACCCCATGGAGGTGGCCTCCCGCGGCCGAGGCTGCGTCCGCAGCTGGGGCCACGCGACCAAGGACTTCCAAGGCCGTGTGGCGGCCAGTGGGGGGTGGTGGCGGGGTTGGGGGTGGCTGATTGGGGTTGCGCATCCCAACCCCCCTTGCAGAAAAAGAAATAAAGAAAAAACGAATTTCGGGAGGGGGTGGGTCGGGGGTAAAAATTAATTTTTAAAAACAAAAATAAAAGAAATCTTGATTGATTGGGATTTGGTTTGTTGATTGATTGATTGATTGATTGATTGATTGATGGGGGAGGGGTCAGGGTCCCCACCTCCCCCCCCCCCCCCCCCCCCCCCCCCCACACACACACACACACACACATGCACACAGTGTCGTCAATGCTTCCAGGAAGCTGTCATCGAAAGTATGTGTCTTTACTGCGTGGACTATCCCCGGTGCCATCACCCTCCACATCATCTCCTAGCATGTCCCACATGCGGTGTTGGTCATACACCTACGGCAACCACTGACGGATCTCCCTCTTTCTTGCCAGACGAACGACAGACACAGTAGTCCGAGGAGGAAAATAGACTTCTATATGAACCACCGGCAAAGCGATGTGCTCATAGTTTATCACCACCAAGGCGAGCTGTTGCGGATCAAATCCCGCAGCAGTTGAACACCCTTGCGTTGGACCGATCCTCCCTGTCGTCATCTGCCCATAGAGAAGGAATACATCCTGAGGAAGCCCAAGAAAGATGCTCCATGCCGCTTGGTGATGACCCACCGGAGATTCAACTAGCATGTGGTTCGCATGCCTTGTGCCATGAGGATTATGAAGGGATAGTCCATGCGAGTTTTTGCTTCCATACGTACGATGACAGTCAGTACTGTACTCATGTACGACACCCCGACATGTCATGTCCAATTTGTAGGAAGGGGCTGGGACGGCTATGCCTCTATAATTGCGGTTGACGTGCCTCTGTGTTCCTAGCATGTACGAGCCACGGAGCCTGTGACATCTGTCTGCGTCGTGCCATTCGATGCAGCAACCATGACTGCAAAAATTGGATGCGGTGCTTCCATAGCCCACACCCGAACCGTTGTCGGGCAGCCGCGGACCGTTCGACCACCCGACGTACAAGGAATTCGCCCCTCAACCGAACGATCAATCAAGAATTGTCGGGTACTCTTGTCGGGGCCGTCAAGAACAATTAGGGGTCTCCAGAGGGTTCCTAAAATCTCTTGCATCGACCCCGGAAACTTACCTTTGAATTTAATAAAATGAACCGTCGCATATGTCGTGCCGGACATTCGCATTTTTTGTCTGTTCCGAGGCTGTTCCCGAACTGGCCAGCTACGGAACAAGGGTATGGCAGTAGGCCTTGGTGCGTGTCTTTTACGCTGACAAATTGGCGGGGAAATGAACCCTCAATTTTCATAAGATCTAATAACAAAATTAAAAACGACTAAAAGAATTAAAAATGATAAAAAGGGAGGGAATAAATGGTTATTACATTATCTAATTGATTTTTATCAGATTTTATCCTTCATAAATTTTAGCCGAAATTTATTTATTACCCTCACTCCATCGATTCATCCGGATTTTCGGTATTTATGATTCCTCGTTGGATTTTACGTGATTCTTCTTATTATTACCTTTGCTGTAACTTGAGGATTATTCGGTGTGAACAGTCCGTATCTTGCTGGAATTCCACGACATACTGGGGGTCGTGCGAGGACCTGAGTTGACACTTGCAGCATGGTCAGGATTGGTACGGGAATAGGGATGGCTTTTGAGTTCTGATCCTGTCATTTTGCTACGCTCATTGGTTTGGTGCGGCCATGTACGGGGTTAATCCCAAGTACGGTATTGGAGTTCAATTCAGGATGATTGCAATTCGCGGTTACTGGTTCGGAATCTGGTCTGGGTCCGGTGTGGGGACTAGTTGATACAGGCACAATACTTGTGCTGGTAGTCACGACTTTTGGTCTGCGATTCATGGTGACCCGGAACCATTCTTCTGGTACAGATACTGGCTTGACACGAGATACTACAGAGTCGGTGCTCCTATTCAAGCATAATCATTGAACCGATATCGGGCCGGTACGCTGCGTGTTTGTCACCGTTGTGTTGACACCGTTGCTGGTCCGGCTACAGGCGCGACACAATTTATCTGGTCACGGTGATCAATCCAATGGTACGACACTTAATTCAGTGGTACTGGTTTATGGCTATGACCTTAGGGCCTGTGGAATGGGCTCCTGGTACTGAAACTGGTTAGGTGACACAGTTGGGCCTGCTGCTGGTACCGGTGGACTTTCATGGGTTCCACTTCTGCGGCACCATCACGTTCTGGACCGGTGAGCCTGTTTTTGTAGGTAGCTTCAGTGTGCTGAGGCCCACAGCCGGTGCCGCAGCCAGCATAAAGCCAGACCAGCAGAGACCAAGGAAAAAAAAAGGGGGGGATGGATTCAGTTCGACGTGCCTGTCGTCCGCAGCCCACTGGGATACAGCCCGATTCAACCTGGGAGCGTCAGCGCGCTAGGCGTGCTCAACCTGCACTGAGGTCGGTCTGATACACGCCCGCTCAAACGGCGGTCAACGGGGAAGTTGTGCGCGGGGTGCGCTGTGAGGAAGGGCATGATCAATCAGGCGGGCGGGAAACTCTGCCAGGCACGCGCGGTGTAACTCACCCGGTATCTCTTCGGAAACGATCATTCGGGTTGGGGGAACAGAGTGACGCGCCTGGCGTATGGTGACCTGCCAATCAGGCAATCCCGCTGCTGGCGGGAGCGGTTCCTTTCGGTGATCTGCCAATCAGGCAATCCCACTGTTGGAGGGAGCGGTTCCTTTCGGTGATCTGCCAGGGGAAACAATAACATAGGATTGCACACTTCTTTGGGGTAGACCTTACTCATTGACCATTTCCTGATAAGAAACTTATCTCAAGAAAATGGTCACTCCATTCACCTCTAAATCCGCATCAGACGTGGATTCAGCGCAATGCCTCTACCCCTCTTTGAAGAGCAATCCAAACACATAACTTAACAAACAGCCATAAGTTGATAATTGGATTTGAGACGCTCATATAAATCCTTGCARACTGATAAGTTCAAATACATACTTCAGATACAAAGCCCATGTAAATATTTATGACAAGGATAACTATTAAAATAATATAATCATCAAGCATGTAACCTTACATACATAGACATTAGCTAAGTTTTCTCAAATAAGATCTGGCATATATGGATGACTTCAATACGTAAAAAAGACGCCTTCAGAAGAGAATAGTCCTTAGCTCCAACTTCATTGATTCAAGTGGATGGTCCAAGCCTGGAAAGGTTCAAGCGAAGGTCTAACATCAACTACAACTCATTGCCCCATCAAATATAACCAAAATAGTCTAAGTGTTAGCCCCTTCACAGTTACTCCAACTGCCTCTAGAATCAAACACCTCTCTCACATAGGAGATACTATGCAGACCTACTACATCTCGTAGTCTCTTTTATGGAGGTCATAGCACAGTGCCCCTTGCACCTATATGTCGTCTTATACGCCTAGCTCACACACATCACGTAGGGCAGACCTCATACTTCCTGGGCTATATACTCCGAAAAACCGCTTAGAACCCTGACTCAAGGATGACAATCCATGCTCATAAAGGCTTTCAGCGCCCTTAGCCTAACTCTCCTCGAAGTCCCTCAATGACCTCTACATAACAGGCTCCCTTACTCATCCTCGGCCTCACTCTAGTGCAAAAGTACCAAGTTGCCCTCATGACCATTTAGAGAGTTTTTTTTACCATAATGGGTACCTTATGAGGCTAACTCCCACAAAGAGACATGCTTCGTCAGATTGGTGTTGCTTCATCCTACCCTAGCTGTATCCAAAATGCAAACCATTATCCAAGCCCGTCAACTATCAGAGTCAGAAGCGTTACCAGCTCCAACTACCACTATACTCGTTAGAGTACGTGAGCGCATAGTCAAAACGCCTATCACTCTCGAGCCACCCTTACTGCATCATACAAAACCAAGTCGCACAGTCAATCCTCACTCGCTTTCTATCAAATGACGAACCATAAAGCCCAAAGAAACTTCTCATTTTGCCTGTTTCTCACATTCTCATACCCATCGAGGGCGTTTCTCGTTCGCTGTAGCATAGGGGGTACGCGCGGTTTTACGCCTCTATCGGACCCGCACGTGAGCCGACGTGTTGGGGGGGCTGTGGTCCCAACCGCGACTCGTCGTTGGTCGACTAGGACGCATCCCACTTACCACGCGTTACCCCACAAGACTCACACATATAGAACGACACAAAACAAACAACACAACAACACTCCTAGTCCCTTCAGTAGCCATCCCATAACCTTCCGACGCGGAAATCGGATAGGCGACGCACGTGAGACTTAGTATAAAGCCGTGCGGACGCAGGGCTAACTCATATCGACTCGCAATGCATGCCTATGCATGTAGTCGCAATGATGGCATACTATGCGGTGCCCATAATCAAGCGGTCCCTTGTGGATCCGAGTAGCGCTGATGACACTCGAGTGTCCAACTCGAAGTATCGTGAAGACCAAGCTCTTCACGATATTGCACGTCTGAAGGAACAGTCGTGCGGCCTCCGCGACACCTCCGACCCTTAGGTTGAGTGTCTCGGTGGGCAGGGCAAATAGGCTCTGCGTGGGGGGTGATCCCTTCCATGCGGAGTCTAGGACCTGGGATGTCCTGGAAAAGCACCTCGAATCCAGACCCATGACGAACGTCCGACTAAGAAATCTTTAAGAAGCATACAACAGAAAAAGGGGGAGCGGGGGTTCCTTCCTTTCTCAATTTCGACCCCCATTTTAACCCTTAAACGTGCGCCCCTTAGGTTACGCAAACACCCAAACTTAGGTATGTACGTAAACATATCTATATATATATATATATAGTGGAATAAATATGTGACGATCACTTCTCACAATCACAGTGGGAGTCCTCTCAACCATATATAGGTATGTGATCGAAGACTATAAAATCCAAAGTCCAAACCACAAAACATACCTGCAATCACATCAAAGAATCAACAGAAGCCCACACACTACACAGGGTCAACTTCAACCATTCTTTGCGCTCACACCCCTCGCTTTAGCCATACAAAACCTTGACCTTGGCGCCCCCTTCCAACAATAAAATACTCAGTACCTTTGTTAAATGGCCATTCAATAAAGTCCGGGTAAAAACACAATGAAACAATTTCAACCACAGTGCTAAAGCCTTTAGGTTAAGCGGCGACCTTTCATTATTGATAACATACGACGATGCTAGTAGGATCAAGCTGAATCTAGCCCAAATCCTGAATCAAACGATCAAGAGGATCTGTAACACAAGACAGGCCAATCCCCAAGCTAAACCTATAAGTCCATGCAGAATAACCTTCATATCACGATCTCACCCAAACATCGTTCTTAATTAACTAAGTCTAAATATATCCCTAAGCAAATATCTAAATAAAAGGTAGATCCTAACCAGATCTCCTCTATACAAAGTGGATCTCCAAAATCGCCACCTGTCAAAATATAACTTATCTCCTTTAAATTAGGAAAATTTCGGCAGCGCTTCCCGTAGGAAAAGTGTCTCTTCCGAATTTTTAGTAGCTCGAACGTAAAGACTGAAATATTCTCTAACTAACTCCTTGAATTAGTAAAAATTTTGGCAGCGCTCCCTTTAGAAAATGAGACTTTCCAGATTTTTGCTAAGCCACATATAAAAGTTAGACAAGTTGAACTTTGAAAAGACAAAATTTAACTCACTCCTTGGTTTTGTAGAAATTTCGGCAGCGCTTCCCGTAGTGAAAGAGGCTTACCAAGATTTATACAAGACCAAGTAGAGCAAATGATCCCAGAAAATGCAGAAATCGACCTAAGTAAAATAAACTTAGCTAAAAAAATGCAGGAATTGAAACTAACTCATATAGCTCTAACACGTGGCGAGCATCTAAAGGAACTACGTGCCAATTGAAACTCGGGCTAAATAATAATCTCACTCAGGCACATGCAAGACCAAACNTGAATCTAGCCCAAATCCTGAATCAAACGATCAAGAGGATCTGTAACACAAGACAGGCCAATCCCCAAGCTAAACCTATAAGTCCATGCAGAATAACCTTCATATCACGATCTCACCCAAACATCGTTCTTAGTTAACTAAGTCTAAATTTATCCCTAAGCGGATATCTAAAGAAAAGGTAGATCCTAGCCAGATCTCCTCTATAAAGAGTGGATCTCCAAAATCGCCACTTGTCAAAATATAACTTATCTCCTTTAAACTAGGAAAATTTCGGCAGCGCTTCCCGTAGGAAAAATGTTTCTTTAGAATATAAACTGCTCGAACGTAAAGACTGAAATATTTTCTAACTAACTCCCTCAATTAGTAAAAATTTGGGCAGTACTCCCTTTAGAAAATGACACTTTCCAGATTTTTACTAAGCCAATTATAAAAGTTAGACAAGTTAAACTTTGAAAAGACAAAATTTAACTCACTCCTTGGTTTTGTAGAAATTTCGGCGGCGCTTCCCGTAGAGAAAGTGGCTTACCAAGATTTATACAAGACCAAGTATAGCAAATGATCCCATAAAATGTAGAAATCGACCTTAGTAAAATAAACTTAGCTCAGAAAATGCAGGAATTGAAACTAACTCATATAGCTCTAGCACGTGGCGAGCATCTAAAGGAACTACGTGCCAATTGAAACTCGCGCTAAATAATAATCTCACTCAGCCACATGCAAGACCAAACCATAAAGGTAAGTACTCTAATCAACCCAAAGTCAATTTTATCAAACAATGGTTCATAGTCTTTCAATGATTTATCCCTTTATACCTAGCTTACATAAGGCATAAAGCTAGACCACCCAAACTTATGAAACATGTCTAGCTTAGCCATTGAATATACACAAACACATGGCATAACAACTTTTCTCTTATTTCGGCATATGACTAGGTCGCCCTAGTCGCCGTGAACTATTTAGGATAACCCAATTATATATAATTGTATGCACTTAGTCTTTTGAGGTAGCATATAACTGAACCGATCATCTTTAGCTTGAGGTTTAGTCTGCCCCTTCGTACCATAAGTTTATACTTAGCTAATACTCTCTTCAGTTTGCGATAAGCTATAATCAGACCACCCAAACTTGTGGAACATGTCTGATTCTCTGCCTGATTTATTTTTCTTAATGGTAAAGCAGGAAGAGGCTGAGCCACACAAACTTATGGAACATGCTCAAACCTCCTCATTCAAAACCAAAAGAAACTTAGAAGACCCAAAATAAACAAGGCAACCAAGCCACCCAAACTTATGAGACAATGCTTGGTTCCTAAAAAGTCAGCCACAAACAACCCTCACAAGTCAAAGCAACCAGACCACGCAAACTTATGGAACATGTTTGGTCCTCCAAGCAACTCAAAATTAAACATAGCACCGAGCCTCTCAAAACTTATGGAGCCTTGCCCAACCTTTGATTGACCCAGCCAGAAATGTTCCATAAACTTTCTTCAGCCATGATGTCGATGCCGGCCTGATACGCATAACAAGCAATGGATCATCAGGTTGTAGTCCTAAGAATGCTTAAACAAGATATGGGCATACAAAGTTGCTAACACTCAGATCACATTAACCATCTTCTTGCTCACATAACAAGACTATAACCCTTAGTTACCCTTGCTCTAATTTTCAAGGGTACCACGATCATGCATGCATAGCTTTCAAACCCAACTATAGGCAGACAGTAGTGGTGGCTTCAAACGTCATTGACCCTTGCATTCGTACTCCATAGTAAAATGGTCGTAGACAAGTCCATAAGAAACACTTAGCAGAGTATGAGGGCACCCTCTATCGGCTCACTACTGCCCAAACCTTGTTCCAATCTACAACCCTCTCATCTGAATCATGGGAGCTCGCATAGGCATCAACAACGTTGACCATGGTTCTAAGTCCTTAACTATGGGGTATAAATCTTTGATGGAGGTACAAACCATATATCAATTCGCACGTATACCGCGCATATCCTCATTCCCTTACCTTCAAAGCGGCTTCTGCTGCGACCTCTACCCTTGCCTATCCCCCAAGACACGTCTCTATGAGAAAATCGGGTAGGGCGACTCGTAACGGGGTTGAAGGAAGCCCAAACTCTTTGGCATGCTTGACCTCTATATGGGTCACTATCTACCCCTCTCCTTCATGGATCCTTCATCTTGTCCACTTCTCGGCAGCTCCTTCAACTATCCTTAATGGTCTCGCGAGCAGGCTTCCATGCCCAGGTGCCAACTCAATCCCATGCAAGACCCAAATGAATGGTGGGGCATATAGGGTCACCCTTACGATTGCGCAGTCCTGACCATCTTCCATTCCAGACTCGATCCAGGCAAAGATACCGTTCTCCATCAGCAGGCCCACCAAGAAGAGATATATGATACCCTTGTCCATCAGCACGCCCCACCAGGAAGAGATATATTCTCCTTCCTTGACTCGCCTCGACAAGGAAATCTCAAATCCATCTTCCTTTTTGACGGGCAAGGTCACACTGGGGTCTTCCCTAGCATAAGGCATCCTGAGTTGCCTTTCGCCTTTGTCTGAGATCTGGCCATCAAGAAAAACGTCCAGGATACACCTTTCGTTACCATGTCGACAATCTCGTTCTACGATCCCTACTCCTGAAGCCTTAATTTCAAGCTATCTTTCCAGCGTCTACGACCACCCAACTCAGAGAAAATAATAATGGTAATACATCATGGTAATAGTGCTTTCACAGATATCAAAAGTCCATAATCATAGTAACTCATGAAAATGATATATTACCTTAGTAACAGAGATGAGAAATACTCATAATTATCAATTGCCTTATACTCAAACCAGTGAGTTACCCAAAGCATGTAGAAATACCTCATGATAATAGATTTATATCAACGGGCATACCATATAATAGGCACATTACTATCAGAGATGTGATCACGAACGATTAGCACTCTTAGGTATAATACTTGTGAGAGTACCACACTTTACTCCCCAGCTTTGACAGAAGTATACTGCGGCGAGGGGCAGTGTAATCCCTTTCAATTTGGATAGCATCTCAAAGCCCTGAGCCCCGCTCTTGGATCAAGCCTCACTGCTTCTCCCTTCGATTCCAGCACTTGTTTCTTGCATACCCTTATCGACAAGGTAAACAACCTCACCTTACACGCTTCGGGTGGTGTTGTCCCGTCCTGTGCTGGTGAACCCACTTGACACAAAAATAGTTGGGGATTCGCCCCCTACCTTTCAGTGGCATGTAGTAGCTGCTTCCCTCATAGGGCATGATCTGACAAGGCTCAAACACTTTCCTCCTGTTCGGTAGTAGTGTAGTTATCTTATTATGGGGGACACAACAACAACACCCCACTATGGACCAGGAACATAGTTCCGGCGTGGGTCTCACTACTACCCAAAAGCCAAAACTAAAACTTCTTCAAAGTCATCTCCCAAGGGAAACAATAACATAGGATTGCACGCTTTTTTGGGGTAGACCTTACACATTGACCATTTCCTAATAAGAAACTTATCTCAAGAAAATGGTCACTC